CAGTTGTTGGGCCATTGTTTTGCCTACCTTTGGTGGTTTGGGCTGGGCTTACGACCCTAAACCCTAAACCCCTAAACCCTAAACGCTAAACCCTAATCCCTAAACCCCAGACCCTAAACCCTAAACCCTTAGGGTGCAGGGTCGGAGATTCAGGGTTTAGGGTTCAGCGTGCATTACTGTATCTCGAGTTGATGGTTTAGAGCTCAGGCTTCCGGAGCTAAGGCTTCGGGCTGAATTCTGCACTTGTTTGGGGTTTTGTTGTGTTTTTGGGGTTTAGGCTTTAGGGCTTTATGGGGCCATGGAGGGTTTTTGCTTTGGATGTAGGTGGTTCATGGCGCTTCATTATATCTTTAGGGGGTGCTTCTGGGCCTTTGCTCAAATGGTGCGGATGAGTTTTCAGTTGAGTTACGGTTTCTTTAGGGTTTAAGGTTTTAGGGCTGAGGGGCTGAGTTGCTGTTACAGGAGTCTCCGCACAACACAAGATCTTGCCCTGCTATTCTTGCATTGGCTGCCCTATCATGTGCCCTAATGAATTGTATCTTCTCTAACTTGTTCAGGCACCTGTTTGTCTTGCAGGAATCCCTCCAAAATCTGCTTCGGGTCTGCAGTTTTGAGGCCTGGGCCTTTGTCCGATAAGGCTCTTCCGGACCAACCCCCCCCCCCTCTTTTCCACATTCTAGAGATGCTTTTGTTCCTGTGCTTCTTTTGGAAGGACCCAGGAAGTGCGTCGCACGGAATTATGAGGCTTTCCGGGTTTGGGTGCTTGACCCTTAAGAGAGCATGCTGAAATGCCCTGAAACACTAAGCCCCTAAACCCCATCAGAGCCTCCACCCTCAACCCTAGGACACCTACACCCAATTCATAAATACAACCCCAAGCACATTACCAAATTCCCTTCTAGTATAAACCCTAAAAGGCTAGATCGTTTTTACACCCTACAGAGCCCTAGAGCTTCATTTCCCAAAACCTACCTGGAGCCCTTAACGCCTCAAAAAGCCTACAGCCCTTTCAAGACCCTTCGGGAACCCTTATAAAACCTTGTTTTAGATTCTTACGGGCCATCTGTAAACCCCCTTCCAGAACCCTTCCAAAACACCTTTATAAAACCTTGCAAAAACCCAGTAAAAAATAAAAAGCATGTGAAGCCTGTCAAAACCCCAGGAAAAACTTGTAACAGCCTTCTGAAACCCTGAAAGACACCCAAAAAACAGCACCCTTGTCTCATCCTTTTTTGCTTTCCAATCGAGAGCAGAGGCCTTCGAGGGCTGCGCCGCAGAGGCGCAGCGGGTGGCGCAGGGTCTTGTGGCGTTCCGCCTGCTTCCAGGCCCTGGGCGGGGGGGGTATAGGGCTTTGGGGTTTTAGGGTTTAGGGATAATGAAGGGTTTTAGGGGTAATAGGGCTTTGGGTTTAGGGTCTAGGGTTTAGGGTTGATTAAGGGTTAATTAAGGGTTTCAGCGGTTTGTTCTGGCTTGGGGTCTGTAGGGTTTCGGGGTCTGGGCCGTGGGAGCGTTTGTTACGAGGTTGCTGTGTACAAGTGTTTAAGGCGATGGATTTTGAATTTTAGCAGTTTAGCATCCGACCTAAAACCCCAAAACCCTAAACCCCAAAACCCCATAAACCCCCCAAACCCTAAACCCCTAAACCCTAAAACCCCATAAACCCCCCAAACCCTATAAACCCCATAAACCCCCTAAACCCCAAAACCCCAAACCCTAAACGGGATTGGTAGGACATGGGCCTTGGAGTCTTCCATTCTTGGGTTTCGGAGTTTTTGTGAAGTCTCAGGTTCTGAGGAGATTGAGGCTTGTCGGGTTATGGGTTTCTGAGCAGTTCTGGGAGCTCAGGGCATAATAGCATAGGTTCTCCTGTGTTTTAGGAGTTTAGGCTTTGACTGTTGGTTTGCGGCTTAGGATTGTAGGAATGTGGTGTTTAGGTTTGAGCGATTATGGCTTTTAGGCTTTTGAAGTTTAAAGGGTTCAGCAGTTTACTCTGGATTCCGAGGACACCACGAGACTATGTGAGGCACTGTTCATGGGGTTTAGGTGAGGGTCTCGGGTCGGCATGGGGTTCTGCCACCATTTTGCGCGGAGTGTGTTCAATATTTCTTCCAACCTTCGCAAATCGAGATCGAGGAAGAATGATAAAGTTGTCATCATGGCCGTCCGCAGAAGTGGCCATCAATTTGCCTTAAACCACTGCAGCCTAACAACAAAAAACAGGCGACATTGCTGGTACCGTGGTCTGCGTTCCGTTGCAATGTCGACCCTGCGCAGGTGGGAGGGAATCCAGGATTCCTGGTTAAGGGTTTAGGGTTTAGGGTTAAAGGTTTAGGGTTAAGGGTTTAGGGTTTAGTTTAGGGTTTAGGGTTAAGGGCTGATCTACGAGTTGCTCTTGCTTTCGGGATTCTGAGGATTGAAGTTGTTTTGCTTGCCCCCCTTCTTGGAGATGGACTAGACCCATGATGCCTGGCCTTTTGTTGTAGGTGTACCCATGATAACCAGTTAAAGCGCCCGCGCAAGATGCCTCGCACAAGTCTAGTAGCCGAGCGTGACCATTCAATCTGGAATCATCCGAACGATTCCTCTGTTGGCTTCGGCTGCATCAGGCACAGTGACCACCATAAATCGTTTGCGGTAATTAAACCCATGAGCTCCAAACGTCTGTACCCTATAAAGGTTTCAATTCAACACCACGCAGGTGGAGCACCGTCCCTGCCGCCGTCGGAGTCGAATGTTTTGACCTTTGCCACGCGCGAGCTCCTCGACCTTGCATCGAGCGGCTGTAGGGTTGGTCGAGGTTTTAAGCTCTAGGATTTTGGATTGTTTGGGCTTGAAAAAGTGTTCGGGTTTCCAATGGTTGGGGGATGTTGGGGGTTTGGGCTTAAAGTTTTGCAATTTGTAAAGTTTCGTGTTTTGGCTTTCAGGCAAATTGGTTCTTCGAGTTTGGGATATGGGCTTAAGGTTGAGGAATTAGTTTCACGGGTTGTGCAGGGCCTGGGTGCTAGGGATCATGGATTTCGGGTCTATTCAACAGGTTTTTGCAGGGTTCTCAGGCCAGCCTTTATACGGGTGGGCTTTGGATTGTCGAATGTCTAGGAACACAGAGAAGTTGCAACGGTTGCTGGCTATATCTCGGGATTCGCTTCCCTAAACACTTCACCCTAAACCCTAAACCCCAAAAGCCAAAACCCCAAAACCCAAAAACCCCACACCCTAACGCCAAACCCTAAACCCCAAAATCCTAAACCCGAAAGTCTCGGCTGACAGGCTTTGCCCACTGGGGAGCCCCGTCATCGTTACAGATGCGGCGCTGTCGGAAGCGCAACAGGCACAGAGTCGCAGGGAGGGGCAGAGTGTAGACGGTAATATATTTGTATATACATATATATATATATACACATAACTCTATATATATATATGATATATATATATATATATATATATCATATATATATATATATATATTGACCGGCGTGATTAAACTAAGAGCTTCATTCCTGGGGGTTCCTGTTTCGAAGAGCCCTCAAAGCCACCCTGCCAGCCTAACCACAAAGGCCTCGAATGGAACGCCTAGGCCCCTTCAGAAATCCTTCAATCGGACCAGAAGCCCCGCGGATCCCTCAGCCCTGAACCCGAAACCCGCCTGCATGAAGAGCAGACAGTCCGAACGACTGATGACACGCTGGGATTGAAAAAACTCCTAGATTCAGATAAGCAAGCAGCACTTCGACGGACCTTAGACACCAACATCAACACTAACCTTTAGACTCTGCCAACGCCCAACCCACCTCTTGCCCGGGAGCAAACGGAAATTAAGGCGAGATTACAACTCCTCAAACCCTAAACCCAAACCCCTAAACCCAAAACCCTAAACCAAATGGCCCAAAACCCGAAACTCTAAACCCTGATCTGTAGACCTTCAGCGCGAACACCGGAAAACAAAAAAAAACTAAAAACACACACACACACAAAAAAAAAAAAACTCGGAAGGAGTTCATCCAGACCTTCGGTGCCTCGCCCCTCCACCGTAACCAAGAGTTCCGTGGCCTTTGGGCGGAGCGCCTGGGCTTCAATAAGAAGGGCCTAGAGGGCATAAATGGGTATCCCAAAACCTACCGTTTTAAGGGTTAGACCCTATAATGAAGGGGTCATGAACCCTACTATTTCGCAGGGTTTGGGGATAGAGGTAGGCTTTGCAGAGAGTTTGGGGAGTTTGAGGGTTTGGGGTTTAGAAGCTCCGAATTCCCGACACTGGCCATGCCAGAATTGCCAGAAACTTCTTTGGCTCGAAAGATCTCATAGGGTGCTGCATTTAAGTTCTATGGGTTTGTATATGGGGAGTTCTGTGAGGGTTTTCGCAGCAGGTTCTTATCAGAGTGTATAGGCTTGTATTTTGCAGTTTGAGAGTTTTGTAGGTCACGCGGCCAATCCTGGTTGAGTCTCTGGGGTTGAGGGTATGGTTTAGTTTTTTTTTGTTTTTTTTCTGTTTCTGCTGGTCTGTCTAAAAATAATGATCCTAAACCGTCAGGCTTTCGGTTTTCCGGCTCTGGCGTTTAATCGGCAGGTTCAGATCCTGGAGCTTTCCCTTGGTGCGCTTTGATGGAAACGGGCCAGCCTGTGCTTAACCCAAGGGCTCCAAGTATGCAAATGGTACCTACTTTGGGGCCTAAAGTCTGTAAATAGGACCTACTTTGGGCTAAATTGGGGTTGACTGTATTGGAGCTGCAGCTCTGCGCCTTACCCCTTCCTGTATTCCGACGCCCCAGATACATCCTGAGCAAGTCCTATGACGGCTGATGCCCTTGTAAGGAACCCAGCAGGACCTCAATCTTCACAGCTGTATGCCCGGAAACACTATCATTATCAGAACCGGCACAAGATAGTGTAAGCCCATATGCACCAAAACACATGCACAGCTTTCATCCTAGATGCTCTGGCACCGTTCAGCGAGTCGCGGCCAACGTTTGCTTTCCGACGCTGGCCGGTGAAGAGTGCGATGAATGGAGCCGCCGGGAGGCTTTAGCGAGCAGGCTTGAGGATCTATTCCCTCAGACCCTTTGTGAACGGTTTAGGGTTTTAGGGGTGGTTTAGGGTTTAGTGTTTAGGGTTGGGGCCTTTGTGTAGTTCATGTGGCGTTTTTTTTATGTAGACTGCAAACCCACACCCTCCTGTGCTGACGTTGCACGGACATGTTGGTGGCTCCGAAACAGAGTCCGTTTCAATTGCGAGACTTGCTCGTATCGCAGTTTCCTCTTGGTTGCAGTTGATAGACGGTACCATGATCATATTGGCAGCTGAAGCTTGTTTTGAATCACGACGCTTGGCATTCTGGTTTGGCCAATCTTTATTGTGCTCTGACATGACAAGGAGGCTAGAAAAAAGTGTAGCAGGTAGGTCAGTGAAAGAAGTATACGCATGCAATCCCCCCCATGGCGACCTCGACCGCCGATGCAACTCAGGCAAGTATGCTTTGCCCAGATGCCGTCTCAATCTTGGCTTTCCATACGACCCACAGCACATGAGCTTCCTCACGGCTCATGCATGCCCGTCAACAAGGCAGCTCTACTGCCCTCCTGATGTGCCGATCGACACTCGGTGGTACAAGTTTAGCACGGCTGGAGAGCCACCTTTTTCGTATTCGGCTTGGAGGCCAAGGGGCTTTAGTGGGGTCAGACATCGGCACTGTAGATGAAGATATATGAACAAAATGAACAGATAAGCAAATACATAAACAAGAAGAGACAGAGAGAGAGAGAGACAGAGAGTTGGATTAGATAGATAGACAAATAGATGTATGGAAGCATGTGTTTGTACTGTTTGACTAGTGGCTAGTGGTGACTAGTTGCCGAAAGCAGGCCTGATACCGAGGCCTTCGAGTTTAGAATGGGGTTGCGGGGGGCTATGCTATTGAGGGAACAATGGTGCTAAACATGCCTTGAAGTTTATGTCCCATATGAATCTATTCCTTGGGCTCCTTGTTGGTGTTGTAGTATAATATGCCCCTAAGACCCTCGTCCAATCCCAGCTTAGGCCATCCGCGCGACTCTCAAAGCTGGCTCGAGATCCACGGGGCTCTGGGCGGCGACGATTGAAGGTTTGGGGGGTTTAGGGTTTAGGGTTCTTTGAGTTTCCAGCCTCATGGAACCCATGTCTTTCTGAGGCTTAGGTCTGAAAGGGAGGGTTGTGGGTTTCGGGCTTGGGTTTGGCATTGCGTTTCCGGTTTCTGGGTCTGGGTTGAATGTTTCTCTCCTTGGCAGTTCCTGTGATGTTATGAAGCATCCATGCACCGAGCACAGCGCATCTCTACGCCCAAATTGCCGAAGTCTCGGCCTTGAAGGTGTAAATGTAGGGCGGGTGCCCGAAGTCCGGGATAAGGGGTCCAGGGATTTAAGGGTTTTAGATTTCAGAGAAACTGCTGGTGACAATGAAGGCCTGAAGGCATCACCTCATCGACCCTCACACACTCCTCCTCGACTTGAGAATTTAGAGAACTGAAGGGGGGTATTAGGAACCTGGTGTTCTATATTCGGCTCACCTCTTTCGCGAACCTTATTTGAGGGTCATATGATATGATTTTCAGAAGCCCCCCTAAACTCTAAACCCTAAAACCCTGAAACCCGAAACCCCTAAACCCTAAAACCCCTAAAGCCCTAAAAACCCTAAACCCCTAAACCCCTCGACCCCTAAACCCTTAAACCCTAAAATCCCCAAAACCCTAAACCCCTAAACCCTAAAAGCCCTAAAAGCCCACGTCGATTCATCGGGGAGGCCTTCTACCCAGCCTCGTGGCCATTCGTCGGGCTCTCACTGCCTCCTTGCAGGCTCGGAATGCTGGGGCTCTCAGGCTCAGAGCAAGGCGATCCTAGCTGTAGAAACCTATGTGATGGTTCGTAGTATATTATTTAGTATTATATATTGCTATTATAGTCTCTATACGATATATGTTCGTAATATTTTTTAGTCCCTATTGTATAGGTTCGGAATAGTCTCTGTAGTCCCTATGTAATTTTTAAGGCCTCTAAAGCAGCAGTTTTCGGAGCCCGAAGCAGCACTCACAACTACAGCAGCTGGTCTTCGTTACCATAGGGGCCTAAATCATTATCAACACAATTTTGTTGGGTGGGTCCGTACTACAATTATAGTACAACATACCTAGACCCACAGTCTAATGAGTGTAATGATTAAGGCCCGCACTTTACGTGCATGCATCTATGTAAGGGAATGTTGCTGCATGATCTCGCCTGAAGCCTGCTTGGGGCTCAGATGCTTAGGTAGGTCCGGGTAGGTCTGGGACTGGTACCCGAACCGAAACCCTAAAGCGTGTGAGCCAGGAGCTAGGAGCCGTTTGCAATACTCTGGCGGCTTAAGCGCACTCATTTGGGTCTCCGGTCTCCAAGTTTAGATAAACTTAGATATATGGTAGACAGGTTGTCCGACCATCTTGGGGATTCATCGGCCACGAAGGTCTGCGACTTCAGATTTTTCAGACTTCGTTCCGCAATCGAAGGCTCTCGGAGCAAGGCGCTCTGGATGATTTTGGCTTAAAGGCTGTTCGTCACCAAAGCTTGAACGTTCATCAGGGTGATGGCAAAGCTGGTATGTTTGTCGTGTGGTCAGGCTCGTTCAGACTGTTTGAGTCAAGTTTGCTGCTGTGGGGGCTTCTCAAAATGAAGGGTACCTGTACCTCGTTTCAAGGATCCTTACAACCACGATCCGACTATATCGGGCCCAAATTTTGTGAAACTCCCCTATCTGCCCATCCTAAGCCCCCGAAAAAAAGAACTCTGCAACCTGAACCCTCATAGAACGCTTATAGAACACTTATAGAACCCTTAGAGAACCTTTATAGAACCCTTACAGAAACCTTGTAGAACCCATATAGAGCACCTTGTAGAACCCTTCTTCTAGAACCCTTATAGAACCCTTACAGCCCTGAGAGGGTCCTGGAAGCCCTCGCCCCCTAAAGCCCGAAGCTTCCTTTGGGCACGGGCCAGGACGAGGTGAACTTTGCCCGGGGTAGCGGCTCCAGTGCGGACGCGGCCTTCAAGCGCTGCCCTGCTTCCTTAGTTGAGGATTTTGAGGGTTTTAGGCTTAGGGGTAAGTGAATTAATGGCCTAGAACCCATAAAGGGCCATTATTCTACATACTTTCAGGGGTTAAGAATGTAGGGGTGGATCTTTCTTGTAGTAGGGACAGGCAGAATCAGGTTCCCTGAAAGGTTTGACCGCTGCTTTAGTCCAAGACAGCGTCGGTTTTGAGATGCTTTGGGCTCCCGTAGGTGGGGTTCTATAAAGGTTCTAGAATAAGGGTTCTACAAGGGGTTCTATAAGGGTTCCATAAGGGTTCTACAAGGTGTTCTATAAGGGTTCTATAAGGTTCTGCAAGGTGTTCTATCAGGGTTCCAAATGGTTCTACAAGGGTTGTGTAACAGGACCAGCCATGAGACCCTTTTTGAATCGTCAGTCGTCGGGGTTTGGTTTCGGGCTTGAGGCCAAGGCTTCACCAGACATTCCTATGAGATCCTGCCAAATACGAGTCAAACCCTAAACAGTAAACCCCTAAACCCTAAACCCAGAGCTCTTTGAATGCCCAGGCTTCGGACGTGAGTGGATCGAGCACGAACTGTTTCGCCTTGGCTGCAGTCAGGACCTGCCGGCCAAAGGATGTGCTGCAATGAAGACGTTTGATTAAGAAACTCCCCCTGATGTATCAGGATTTGTTCTGTGGGTAGTTGTCTAAACTAGGGTCCCTTGTAGGCTGCTTTTTTAAGTGTGCCGTGCTATTTTGGGGACCTAAAAAGAGGACCCTAGTCTAGTTTAGAACACCACCCATATGGTATGCAAGAGATCTCGAGGTTTGCGCCCTGAAGCCACAGGAGATTATCTAGTCCACAGAAGTTCTCAGCTCATTTGCCAGTCGACTTGAATGACGAACCCCAGAGGTTCCATGTACCCAGACAGTATATCCTTTAGCCCCAACCAATACCTATATAGGGTCTATTTTAAGGCCAAAGTATATAAGATTTGGATACAAAAGGGAGGCTTAAACCCCTAAGCCCCCCTCCGTAGAACCCCTTATAGAAACTCTTAGAGGAGCCCTAAACCCTAAACCCCCATAGAAACCTTTATAGAAACTCTTAAAGCAACCCTGAAATCAACCCTAAACCCTAAACCCCCCAGAGAAACCTTTGTAGAAAACTCTTCAAGCAACCCTGAAAGGAGCCCTAAACCCTAAACCCCGATAGAAACCTTTATAGAAAACTCTTAAAGCCCTATTTGGGCACATACTGTTGATGATATAAATCCTGCATTTACTTTAAGGACCCTAAACTATGAGAGTTATGGTACATTCCTTACTATGGGTAATGCAGGATATCATCAACCGTATGGACCCTCGGGCAACTCCGGCATCCTGTGAGCTGCGAAGCGGATTTCCGAGTGTAGATGGATGCCTGAACCATGAGTAAAAGGCCATTCCTCGATATGCGCTCCCGTATCGTAATCTACCTTAAGATACGATAATCTACCCTATATAACTAATGTACCATAATATACCTTAGTTATCATAATACACCAGAATATACCTTAAGTATCATAATATACCATGATATACCCCCCAAAACCCAATTCCAGAGATTACGGCGCCCATACTGCTTCCCTCGTTTTCAAGCATCCTGCGGCGCAAACCTGCGAATGCTCTTCTTGCAGGAAGACTGGCATCGCACATTGAATGGCGGCTCGGCGCTTTGGGTGGCTTAAATGGGCTTAGGGTTTAGGATTCTAACCCGAGTCCCCAGACAGCCCAATACCCCTCAATTAAGGAACATACCTTAAATTATAGCGGCCTTAGCATTATATTTTAAAATATATTCCTTAATTCAGGGGTATTGGGGTCTCTGGGTCCTCAAGTGCAAGGCAACACTGCCATTCTGTTTGTGTTTCAGAGCAGGGGTTGGCCCCGGCATTGACGGCCGAAAGCCCCAAACCTTGCGTCTTGAAGGAGAAACCCCAAAACAAAGAGGCCCCTCAAAGTGTCAAGCCTCAGATGCTATAATGTAAAATGCAATATATAGCATAGAACATATGATATATAATATATACTAATAAATAAATATATATATATATATGTAAGTATATGTATATACTGTAGTACGTATAGTATATAAGATACACTAGGTCCCAACACTGGGTCAAGGTATCACCGCCCGACACTTCAACGAGGAGCTGCCACTGCTGGGCCGCTTATCGGGCATGGGGTTTCAGGTTTGATTGACAGATGCTTGTAATGTCAGTCCAGGTCTTAGACAAGTGTTTAGCGTTTAGGGTTTATATGTATATATATATATTTATATTATGCATATATATATACATATTACTTGATGAAACAAGTAATCAAATGATATAACAAGTAGTATATAGTATACAGTGTATAATCTACCCCAGGGTTGCTTTTTGGCAGGTCGAGTCGGAGTCGTTTCTGCAGGCCTTCCGCTGGCTTTGTGCCCTACCTGCTGCAGAGACGGCACAGCTCGGCTTCGTGTGGTGACACTACGGAGTCTTTGCTGCAAAGTCGCTTCGAGAGTGAGGGTTTACGCGATTATGGTATAATATACTATAAGTACTATAATATAATATGATAAAACACAATATATAATGAAATGTATAATAACATAACAAAATGTAACACAATAAGAGTTTCAGGCTTTAGGGGTCAGGTCGCGGGGGAACGTCATGGTCTGCTGCAAACGATTTAGTACTGGGCTTGATCTTCGTCACTCCGATGTCTCAGGTGCAGGAACTCGATTGTGGGCCCTGCAAAGCCCCCGGGACATCTTCCTGTGAATCCCTAACCAAACTAGGCCGTAGCTCGTCCTTGCTTTGAGAGTTATCGCTTAACCCCAATCCCTAGGCCCTCTTGGACCCCCATGTTCCCTAAGCCGTAAAAAAAACTTTAAACCCTCACTGCACTCTATTCTACGACTGCAAACCCTAAGACCCGTGCCCTCAGTCCCTAACTCCCTACGCCGAAAGATACCCGACGCCTCCATGCCTGAACCCTAAATCCTCAAGCCTGAACCCTTTTTAGGCTGTAGGGTTGAGGGTATATTCCCCGAATTCGAAGTCCCGAATCCAAGCGAGGAATCCGTTCGCCAGACTCGCGAGCTATTGGAGAGAGTGGAAGCAGAGGAGGCCCTCAGAAAGAGGGACATGAGACTCCCAGAGCCATTTCCCCGGATAAGGCGAAGGTTTCTTTGAGAGTTCTATTTCAAGGAGACTACAGGTGGGGAGATAAGGCTTCTATAAGGTATATAAACCTTCTATAAGGCTCCGATAACGTACCCACTTGAAAATGTCGATCTATGGGTTTAGGTATTTTGGTGTTGAGGGTGTTGGGTTCAGGGCTCTAAGGTCAGGGCTTTGGGGGTAGGTTTAGGGTTGTACTCTCATGCAGTATTCAAGTATTTATGTTATGTGTTCGTCATGACTGCTGCGCCTTCAGTCATGCTGTGTTCATGGGTATGTTCGGTGGTACTCCTCGTATTCGTCTTCTGCGCACGTGCATTTGTCGTGTAGCAAGGGAGCCTTCCAGACGGCGTGCAGAACGCAGATAATCTGTGAAAGGGTGTCGACAAGTGGCACTGCAAGTGATGTCCTGCTTTCCGCGGACGTTAAACCCTAGATCGATTCTAGCAGAATGTGCTTTAGACTTGTATCCTAAGGGGGCCATGGTTGAAGGAAATGGGCTTCAACAGTAAGGCTTTAAAGATCCAAGACAGCTACATGAATGAAGTTATAGGGAGGCTCAGTATCCCCCCGTTTGAGTGCTTCGGACCTGTTTCGGAAGGATGTTCTGCATCCTCCGGCTGTGCAATAACAAGCCCTTATATAATCTGAATTGAATGCTGAACCACACATCCGAGACTGCATATGACACGTCAAAACAAGGAGGGCAAACACAAATCCGAAAGCCCAAGGACTGGAAACTTAAGCCCATACCTAACAGCGAACGTGTTCGAGATTTCGGGACAGAGGTTTGGTGCTGTGATTTCGGAGCAGTGGCGTCGCAGGTTAAGATTTGATGGTCTGAGATTTTTGGGCTCAGCACTTCGCGGGCTAGTGGTTAGTATAAAGTGTAAGGTTTGCGCTTTGTTGGCTCCAGTTGCTTGTGTTCGTTTGTACGTTTGTAATGAAAGTCTTTGTGTTAGGTGTGTGAAGCGGAGGGTTGTCGTGAGTGGCGATGGAACATTGAGCTATGGGCTTTCAAGAACGGGGTTGCAATTTTCTTCGCGGATGAGAGAATTGGCTTTGCTCTAAGCCAACCCTTCCTTGGTTGAGGCAGCTGCAACATTGTTTGAAGTCGTGAGCAGTCATAGAGTTGGTGTCACGTTTAGCAGCATGATTGCATGACAGACCTGGTATGTCAATCACATTGTTCGGCGGGCACTTTAGCTGGTATCCTCTGTCGCTCTCGCTGTCATCGTCTCTCATGCAACTCAGAACCCGAAGAATGCCCTCAATCATGCCTGACAAGCTTCATACCCCAAGACCTTAAGCCCCACACCCTGGCCCGAAACCCTCTCCCGCCACGGAACCACGGGCCCACACAAAACGAACGCTTCCGACGCCACGAACTGGACCGGCCAGGGGTCACTTAGCCCCTAAACCCCTAAACCCCTAAAACCCTAAACCCCTAAACCCCTGAACCCTAGATGAGATCCCGGCCAGGGGTCACTTAGCCCCGGACATCTCCTTTGACGCCTGGTTGAAGGAGATCCTGTCAGAGAGCCCAGATCGCCCCTCGGACGACCGAGTACTTCGGAGGATAATGTGGTTTAGGGTCGAGGGTTCAGGGTTTTAGGGTTTAGGGTTTATAGGGTTTATGGGTTACGGTTTAGGGTTTATAGGGTTTAGGGTTTAGGGCTTGGGGTTTATATGGTTTAGGGGTTAGGGTTTAGGGGTGCGCATTGAATCTGTCCCAAAGTCTAGGCAATCTTCATTCGTCAGTAGCCTTAGCTCGACGTGGCATCCTTTGTGTGAGCATCGGCCTGCCATAATTGTCGTTATATACCTGCAACAACGGCACATCATCGCTGTAGTCCATGATGTAGCAGTACGGCCGATTGTGCTGATGATGCATCCTCTCCAAAAGGACGACTCACGCAACACATTGATGGCGATCTCACCTAGGGTTTAGGGTTTAGGGGGTTTAGGGTTTAGGGTTTAGGGGTTTAGGGTTTAGGGCATTTTCCGACCGAGGAAGCTTTATCAGCGAGCGGGACGAGTTCCACGTGGAGCCGGCCTTCACATCTCCTCCCCAGGAGAAGGAGGCAAGTTCGCGGGTTCAGGCTTTGCGATATTGTAGATTTTGGACATAGTCTTCTTCCGTCTTCTTCCTTAGCTATTTTACAGAACTAAACGGTATCATCGGAACTACTACATCCTTGGCTACATCAGCAATTGCACCGGCACCAAAGAAATCAGCCTGCGCTGAATTCGGATCCCCTGCTGATCCCAGGCAGTCGTTTTGGTACCAGAAGCTTACACACCCCAAAGCGGGCGATCATGTAATCCTAAATCCTTGAGCTTCATTCTGAAACTCCCAAGCTGGACGCCAAGCCGGGACCCAGCCCAGACTGCAAACCCTAGATCCAGTCCTTAGGCTCTGAACTGTTTGACGGTCAGGAACACGATAAAGGGCCCATAGAAACGAAACACAACAACTAAGTCCGCCTGACACAAGCGGTTCCGATGCCTAGGAAAGAGGAAAGAGCGCACGAAGACAAACGACGGCCAAAAGCCTTGTAGTTTAAAGGCCTTTACCCCCTACTAGAACCCTCCCCCTACTAGAACCCTCATGACGGAGCCCTTCAGGGTACCTTGAAGGATACCCTCGGAAGATCCCCCAAGCTGCTCGTAAGACCCGTTAGATGGTCCGCTGGAGGTCGTCTTCCTTGTGGAACGTCCTGAAGAGTCGATCCGATTGGTGGAGGTGGTGGTCTGGGGTTTAGGATCCAGGATTTCAGTGCTTTAGGGTTTACGGCTAGCGGATTTACGGGTTCCGTGGCGAAGCCTGAATGACAACCATGGGGTTAGTGGTGTAGAGTTCAGACTTCGGAAGTTCAGAGCTACAGCTAGTGGTCTTACCTGTAGGGGTTAAGAGCCGCAAAGGTTTTGCTGTCGAAAGTGACACGTCTATTCTTTGGTGTCTATCACCCTAAACCCTAAAACCCCTAAAACCCCTAACCCTAAACCCTACAACTCCTAAACCCTAAAACCTCCAAAACCCTAAACCCTAAAGCCAAAGCCGTGGTAGACTCCAACTGAGCTGAGCCTGAAGGGCTTGGTTCGGAGGGCCACTGCTGGAGCCGGTTTAGGGTTTGGGGGTTTAGGGTTTAGGGGTGTGGGGTTTAGGGGTTTAGGGTTCTTAGGGGTTTTAAGGATTTTAGGGCCTAGGGTTTAGGATTTAGGGTTTAGGGTTTAGGGTTTAGGAATAGGAGCTTAGTGTTTAAGAGTCGTTGCAAGAAGGTCCCCCGACCATTCGAGTGGTCGAAGTGGTCGACACGTGTTTGAGTTCGGATTTCGGAGGTTCAGGAGCCTCCCCGACCCCTAAACCCTAAACCCT